CCGCCCATAAAGAGTCGTGACATTCTTTGATCAGCTCCTTCCTCAAGTTGCCCCATCTTGGTATGTAGATGCGTCGGCCTTTGGTGTAAAGGAGATCTTCACTTATCCAGAACTTTTTGGTATTTCCTTCCTTCACTAAGGCAATAATATTTTGGGTTTGTGGATCGGAGACCAAACCTTCTTTTATCTTGTCTATGAGGGAGCTAGAGGCTTGTGTCAGGCTTGCAAGTTCTGTTTTTCGGCTTAGTGCATCCGCAACTATATTGGTCTTCCCTGGCTTATACTCCAGGATATCAAATTCTGCCAAAAAGTCATGTCATCTTGCTTGCTTAGGACTTAGCTTCTTTTGAGTCCGGAAGTAGCTGGTGGCAATATTATCTGTCATCACTTGGAATTTGGAGCCAAGTAGTGTTTCCATACTCTAAGGCAATGTATGATGGTTGTCATCTCCTTTTCTTGGACTGTATAGTGACGCTCTGTCTTATTAAGTTTTTTGCTTTCATAGGCAATTGGGTGCCTATCTTGCATAAGAACCCCTCCAATAGTAAAGTCTGAAGCATCAGTACGCACTTCATATACTTTGGTATGATCAGGAAGGCTAAGTAAGGGTTCTTCACCGATTGCCTTTTTGAGATCTTCAAATGCTTCATTACACTCACTATTCCATTCCCACGGCTTATTCTTCTTGAGTAAGTCCGTCAACGGAGTAGCTCTTGCAGAGTAGCCCTTTATGAATCGCCGATAATAGTTAATAAGTCCCAAGAAGGATCTTAATTCAGGTACATTGGTAAGATGTTCCCAATCTTGGATGGCTTTGACTTTGCTTTCTTCCATCATGAGTTTTCCCTCCTTTATCCTATGCCCCAAAAAAGCCACTTCTTGTTTGGCAAAGGAGCATTTTTCTTTCTTGAAATTTGGAGTCTGGAAGTAGCTGGTGGCAATATTATTTGTCATCACTTGGAATTTGGAGCCAAGCAAGTAGTGTTTCCATACTCTAAGGCAATGTATGATGGCTGTCATCTCGTTTTCTAGGACTGTATAGCGACGCTCTGTCTTATTAAGTTTTTTGCTTTCATAGGCAATTGGGTGCCTATCTTGCATGAGAACCCCTCCAATAACAAAGTCTGAAGCATCAGTATGCACTTCATATACCTTGGTATGATCAGGAAGGCTAAGTAAGGGTTCTTCACTGATTGCCTTTTTGAGATCTTCAAATGCTTCATTACACTCACTATTCCATTCCCACGGCTTATTCTTCTTGAGTAAGTCTGTCAACGGAGTAGCTCTTGCGGAGTAGCCCTTTATGAATCGCCGATAATAGTTAATAAGTCCCAAGAAGGATCTTAATTCAGGTACCTTGGTAGGATGTTCCCAATCTTGGATGGCTTTGACATTGCTTTCTTCCATCATGAGTTTTCCCTCCTTTATCTTATGCCCCAAGAATGTCACTTCTTGTTTGGCAAAGGAGCATTATTCTTTCTTGATGTATAGCTTGTTTTCTCTAAGAATTTTGAATACGTCTTAGAGATGTTTTAGATGATCTTCGAGAGTATTGTTATACACCACTATATCATCCAAGTACACAACAACAAACTGGTCCAAGTATGGCTGGAATAGTTTGTTCATCAAAGTGCAAAATGTAGCAGGAGCATTGGTTAGTCCGAAAGGCATAACCAAAAATTCGAATGACCCATATCTGGTCACACAAGTGGTCTTCGGTTCATCTCCTTCTGCTATCCTCACTTGGTAGTAGCCTGACCGGAGATCCAATTTTGCGAAGTATCTTGCGCTCCCAAGTTGATCAAAAAGATCGGCAATGAGAGGGATTGGATATTTGTTCTTCACGGTAATTTTGTTCAAAGCCCGATAATTTATACACATGCGTAAGGAGTCGTCCTTCTTCTTTTGAAATAGAACTGGAGCACCAAAGGGGGCTTTAGATGGTCGGATAAATCCTGCCTCCAATAACTCTTTCAATTGATTGTGTAGTTCTGCCAATTCTGGAGATGTCATGCGGTAAGCTCCCATTGCTGGTGGCTTAGTTCCTGGCTCCAGCTCAATTTGGTGATCGACCTCCCTTCTTGGCGGTAGTTCCTTCAGTAATTCCGGTGGCGCCACATCTTTAAACTCGTCAAGTACTTCCACTACTTCCCTTAGCGTGGCTTCTTCGGGCTTCAATTCTTCGTCGGAGTTATGAAGGATAGCCAAGTAGCTTTTTTCCTCTTCCTCTCGTCGAATGCCCTTTTTGAATTGAATGGCTGATAGCATCTTGGTTTCCTGCTGCCTAGCTCTTGTTGTCGGTACAAGGCAAGCTTGGTCACCTCCCATGATGCACATGCTATTGGCAAATGGTATCGGGAACACCCTTACTTGGTCCAAGAACTCTATATCAAGAATCACCTTGAAATCATCCATGGGAATAGTGGAGAAATTTAGCGTACCGGACCAATCTCCTACACAGGTCTTCACTTCTTTAGCCACTCCATGGATTGGTCTGGCTGCAGAGTTCACTGCCATGATGGAGCCTCCACCTCCAGTTATTTGCAGACCCATTTTCCTTGCTTCTCCAATAAAAATGAAGTTGTGAGAAGCTCCTGTATTTATCATCGCATTAGTAGATGTCTTTCCTATAATCACATCTACAAAGAGAAGTCTTTTTGCAAGGGTTTTTGGAGAGGAGCGTACCGCATTTAGTTGTATGGTTCTTACATGAACGCCCATGTCATTTTCCTCTACCTCTTAATGGCTTGCAAGGAGAGAGTTTAGAGCTTTCTTCTGCGGGCAGTCCCTTACCCAATGTGGTCCCCCACAAAGGAAGCAACTGTTGTATGGTTTAGTCTTGTTATTGTTGTTAAACTTCCCCTTGTCTCTTGCTTTGAACGAGGTCGATTCGTGACGATTCTCTTCCTTGTGTTGTTCCCGATCTCCCCCACTTCTGACATAGTTGCTCTTCTTTTCTTTTGGCTTTGTAGACTGCTTTGTATAATCCACCAAGCTTTCTGCAATGGCGATGTCGGAAGCGAGATCTTGTGCACCGCGCCTCCTAAGCTCTGTATTTGCCTATTGTTGGAGTTCATCCATGAAGTTGAATAAAGCATCCTTGTCTGACATATCAGGAATTTTAAGGACCAGACTAGTAAATTCCTTGATATATTCTCGCATCGATCACATTTGCTTGAGTCTTTGCAATTGGGCTCCAGCCTCATCCTCCGCATCTTCAGGGTAGAACTGTCTCTTTAGCTCTTTCTTAAAGTTATCAAAAGTGGAGAAGATACGCATACCTTTTTCGACATCTCATCGTCTTCTTCTCCACCATAGCATAGCAATATCTGAGAGATAAAGAGTAGCAAATTATCATTGTCTATTCATCTGTGATCCCCATCGCTCTGAAGTATTGTTTCAGTCCCCATAAGAGGTTATCTACTTCCTTTGCATCCCGAGTTCCTCCAAAACTCTTTGGTTTTGGCACCTCAATCCTCTTGGATTCGAAGGTTTGATGGTTGGTGGGTGTTGCCAGTGCCCTCTTGCACAACGAAATATCTCCATGCATCTCTTCCAAGCTAGCACGCATGTCACTCATCTCTTCTTTATAGGCACTTCGAACCTCTTGGAGCTTCCCCATGAAATCCTCCTGCAACTTAGCCACTTGGCCCATTAAGGTTTCCTCAAGGTTTCCTCGAGGTTTCCTCGAGTTGGAGCATCATACCTCTGTTAGTTGAATGGATGGTGACGTCCTCCTCCTCGAGTCCATCAACACTTTGGCCAAGATCCTCTACTTGGACCTCCATGTCATTCATTGCCTCCTCCATCCGAACAAAGTGTGAATCAAAGTCATGTATGATCTCCTTAGACCTCCCATGTGGCTTGGGTGCAATGGGGGCTCTTTGCTCCTGGCGACCTCGCCCTTGAGATGACTCGTGGCTTCCGACTCCATTAAGAGCTCTTTGATACTTTTCGCTATTCCCTAAAACCAAGATTTTGATACCAACTGTCACAGACTAACTTTCCTCGAGTTATCCGTGCGGCTTTAGAGCTCTCTCTTAGCAACTCAAAGCACACTCTTGAAAGTAGAATAAGAAGAATAATTAGAGAAGAAAAACACTTCACTAATAAAGAAAGATTACAAAGCTTGAAAGCTTGAAACCTTGGGTGGTTTGAGATGAGGGGAAGGACTCTTATTTATACCTTCCCTCATGTCTTTGGTCTTACATCTAGCCAATGTAGGACTATTTTCCAAAGGAAGCTTTACAATATAATATTCTAGCTTCTAGATAGTTCTACACCATTCTTATGTACATACATATTCTAAATTCTTATGTTATAGTATCGGTGGGGCGTGACAGTCGGCCTCAAATCAGTAGAAAAGGAACAAATGTTACTATAATCATTTAGTGAATAAGTTCATGCCATCAGATCAACATAAGAGTATCCAAATTAGTTAAGCACCATAACCACAGTTCAAATTCTATTATTGATCAAAATGGAAGCAATTTGTAAAACAACAACATACTGATCTAGATTCCTTATAATGCATAAGGTTTTTAAAATGTTCATGCTTAAATTATGATATATACAATAAATGACTTTGAGGGGAAAATCAAGTTACTTGGCAGAGCATTATTTCTTCAGCATGCTGCCTTGAAATGTAGAAAAGAAAGCCTTCCAAATTAATCCTTACCAAATTCATACTTATGAGCCTATAATCAATTTATGATCTAAAGGCACCTGGAAGCTAGAGCACCTTTAATCTGTGATCTTTTGAAATTAGACATTAGAATATAAGGTTCATGAGAATAAAAAATAGTCGTGCATTAACATGTAGGATTGAATGGGGAGGATATCGACACATAAAACTATTTCAAGCAGAATATGATATTTTTACTAGCTACCTATATTGCTATTTTTTCTCTTTAAAAATGCAAAGAAAAAATATATAAGAAATTAAAATCAAAGAAAATAATTAGAAATATCTCCTTGGATAAAAACATAGAAAACATTACCGAGAACGATTATTGAAACAATCTTCACAAACTCTGACATTTGAAAGGATGCCAAACTGAGGTAGAGCCTGACAATAGACATCTAATTTATTATAAACACATTGAGTGAGACCAAAGAAGCAATGGACTAACAAAATTCATGGCATAGAAAAAAAATTCCAGAGCAAGAAAAATCTACCATTTGATTTGATGAATGTTCACTGCACAAAGTCCTACCACAGCATCGACAGTGGTGCTGCTCAGAGAAAACAAGAAAAGAAAGATAAACAGGGTTGCAATCAATAATGGAAACATTGAAAGTGTGAATAAATACAAGAAAACCAAGCAAATATGAGAAATTGAAGCCAAAAAACAGAAATTAATCAATACTAATTACTTTAATGGATGCCAATGGAGAAGTACAGCTTCTGTAATCCTCGTACTTATTAAAAGTTGATTGAGATGTTAAACTTTACTTACAGCAGATCTTTTCTCACTCAAAAGAATATTATTTCTGATCTTCCTTGTACACATCAACCTCCTATCTTATTTACCACTTCTTTAAATTCGATGGATGTTATTCCCAACATCCCATAAATATAATCATCTGCTAATCCATCCTTTCTATTTTCAACACACAAGCATCTTAACATTCTCATTTTGTCCACTAACAACTTGGCAATTAGTAACTTCTTCATTGCCCAAAAATCAGATCCAAATAGCTGGTTTACTTGCAATTTGCAAAACTTCAAAATATCATGCTGACCATTTATCCTAATGGTGTTCAGGCTGTTGATTTCATCATTACTTACTATAAACAAAAACCTTTTGAGACAAATAAAAAAAACATTTTTTCCATGAACGCATTCCACAAATCGCACTACTGCTCTTTAATTTTTAATACTCGATGCTCCCACAAAACATTCCACGATCAAAAAAGAAATCACAAGCGTTGTCCCCATAGTCGATTCAACCAAGAAGATCGTTAAAGGAAATAGATCAACTGCAAGATCATCAGAAACAAGCCAAATTTCTCAAGTCGCAGCAGAATTGTGACTACAAAGTAGGGCACGGCTTCGGGATCCATCTCCGACAACAAAGAAGAAACGATTACACTTGCGTAATTAAGATTGGGATTGAAGAGAACAAAGCCAATAGATTCAATTGAAGATTCCAGGGGAAGGAAGGGGTGGGTTTACCCTTCGCCGGAAAGTGGTGAAGCCGCAGTTGCAAACGTCACACCTCGGAGCCTCCTGGAACACCGGCGGAGTCTCCATCTTCGCCTCTGTATCTCCCCTCCCCTCTCAATCGCTCCCAGCCAGCCCGGGTGTTCTCCAAAAATGTGAGATTGTTACGATACGACAATATTCTGACACAAATCTAGATGTTGCGATGAGTAAGACCCAAAGTTTCATATTTACACCACTCAAAAATTTGATATTTACACTTATAAAATTTTATCATCTTAAATATATGCATGAAAGATATAATAATAATGATATTTTTTTATGTGATTTTAGAACTATAAATATGATTGTTTAAGTGTTAGAAATGTAGATACATAAGAATTATGTGCTATGTAAATGCCCCAAAAACAATTGTATTGACTTAAAAATAAATAAATAACAAGGAAGATTTATATATATACCACTCAATTCATATCTAGGGCTGTCAAAACAGGCCGTTGCTCATGAACAGCTTGGTTCGGCTTGTTAAGAAGCTCGTGTTCGCCGAACACGAACAAATCTTTGTTCGTTCGTGCTCGGCTCGTTTTGGCTCGAAATGCTACTAATCAATTATATATATATCTTTGATGAGAAGTCTTTTTTAAAAATTTAGTTGACTACAAGGCTACAAAGATTTATAATCAATTAAAGCATTAATAAAGAAAATATAATAAAAATTATTAAATTAGATTCAAATAATGTTTTAAATATTGTCTCAATCCTTAACATCTGATGACTACGTGATTAGGGTTGTCAAAATGACTATTTGTTCGTGAACGGCTCTTGTTCGGCTCGCTAAGCAAACGAGTCGAACACGAACACACTTTTTGAGCTCGAAATATAAACGAGCCGAACACGTGCTGAGCCTCGTTTACACCCCTATTCATATCTATTTACAAATCTAAACCGTGATTTCAATTTTTATATATATGTCATCTTATTTAGAAATAAAAAAAAATACATTTAATTTTTCTAAGGTTAAATTTGAGATAATATTTTCTTCATGATATGAAAGATTTAGGTGTATAAATATAAAAAGAAATTTTTAAATTTTACATATGTAAATACATTTGAATTAGGTGGGAGTATGTAAATGCCCCACATTTGTATAGGCAAAGGAAATAAACATGATCTTTTTCACATCAAATAAAGACTTTCATTGATAAATCTTTAAATTTGCAGTGCTTTTTTATCAATTGGAATAAATTTGGGGATATTTTTCAAGAAAAACTCGGCTCATAATGCATGTTCCAAGAAATATGTATGAATGAGTTGGCTACATTTGAATTACAGCCCTAGCTATATTTTTGTATGGCACATATACTAAAAGCATGAGTGGTGGTACAATAATAATATGCAAAAAATATTAAAATATAAGAAGTTTTGTTATAAAAATTTATTTAAATGTAAGAGCTTAGAGAACCGGGAAAATATAAGATGTTCAGTAAGGAATCTAAGAAAATAATTTGTGATGCTAAGAATTCTACTTTTAGTTATATTTATAATATATTGGATAATTAAAATGGTGAAAGACACATGTATAAACTAGCAAAACAAATAGAAAAGAAAATTAAAGATTTAATTCAATTGTATTAAAGATGAAAATAAAAAAAAATTCTTTTCTTAGAGTAAGATATTCAGCATAGATGATTAAGATATTTTCGTAATCTATTTAATGAAGTTTTTAAAAATACGTTCAACCTTAGTGATCTTAAAATTGTTAATAATAATCATAATTTTTATTTTTACTATCACATTATTAAGAAAGAAGTTGAGGAGGCTTTAAGGAAAACCAAAGGTATTAAATCAATATGTCTGATGATATCCTAATAGAAGTGTGAAAATATTTAGTAGATTTAGAAGTTTTTTGGCTTACTACACTTTTTAATATTATTTTAAAAAATAAAAAAATGCAGGAGTGGAGGATGAGTGTTTTGGTCTCCATTTTTTTAAGAATAAAGGTGATGCAAAAGAGTGTGCAAATTATAAAGAAATAAAGTTAACTTCTCATACATTAAAAATTTATGAGAAAAAGTAATTGAACATGGATAAAAACGTGATAGAAAAATCTCTCATAATCAATTTGCATTTATAACGAGAAAGTTACTATGGAACCTATACATTTATTGAGAAGTTTGATAGAGAAGTACAGAGAGAGTAAGGAGCGTATACATATGATTTTTACAAATTTTGAAAAGACTTAAGATAAGGTTCCTAGAAAAGTTCTTTGGAGAGTTTAAGGGAAGAAAAGTGTTGATATAAAAAATATTAAAGTCATTAAAGATATGTATACTATAGTTGTATAGTTGTTACTTGTATTTGAAATGAAAAAAGATTGACAAAATATTTTTCTATTTCAATTGGATTGCATTAGGGAGCAGCTTTAAGCCCATTTATTTTTGATTTAATTTGGTTGGTGTTATTGGCATTTACAGAAGAATATACCTTGATGTATGTTTTTCGCTGATATTATTCTCCTTGTGGATAAAACTAGAGAAAGAATTTAGGAAATTCATTATGGATGTCTACATTAGAGTCTAAAGGTCTTCGTTTGAGTAAATCTAAAATTGAATAAATAAAATATAATTTTATTAGTAGTGAATCTAATGGCAGAATTGCAACAATTAGTAATCAAATCATTAAAAAGTATGAACATTTTAAATATCTCGAGTCTATTGTTCAAAGTGATGATGATATAAATTGAGATGTTATCAATAAAATTCAAGTTGGATGATTGAGAGTAGAGGAATGCATCGTGTCTATTGTGTGATAGAAAAGTACCGCTTAGACTTAAAAGGAAAATTTTATAACATGGTTATAAGATATGCAAAGCTTTCTGGCACAAAATGTTGGCCTTTAAAAGAGAAAATAAAACTAAATTAAATTTGCCAAGATAAGTATGCTTAGGTGGATGAAGTGGTAATACCTTAGACAAAATGTAAAACAAATATATCTATGAGAGCGTTGATATACCTCCAATGACAAATAATATTAGAGTCATCTTAGATAGTTTGATCACATTAAATGTCGATCATCTGATAATCCAGTTAGGAAAAGTTGATGCTTTAAATTCAACTTATATTAAAAAAGATAGAGATGAGCCTAAAAAGACTTCAGCATATTATATAAAAAAAAGATTCATGTAAGCGACTAGCCGACCCCAATTAATGCGATAAAAACTTGTTGTTGTACATGTACTAAAAAAAATTTGTCTTGCCCAAAAAAAAAAAAACTTTCAAAAAAGTGAAGTATAAACATTGTGGTAAGGGTAAAAAAAAATCATTTTGATCATTGACAAGCCATTTGGAAATTTCTTCCAAGCAATGTTTATCAATCTCCCTCATCATAGACATGCCATTTGGAAATATTCTTCTAAGCAATATTTATCAATCTTTCTCTGATCATAGCCAAAAATGGCGCTATCCATAACCACTACAAATTAAAAAAGCAAAAGAAAGGTAAAATTTGTTCTCCAAGAAAGCCATATATCCCATATATTGCACATGAATTTGTAACAATTCTCAAATATCAAAACGAAAATTTCATTTTTGATTTGCACTCAACATCCACTTGTGCCGCCAACACACTTCAGAAAAAGTAAAATTCCACAAAAACATAAAATACAACAAACCAAAAAACTATACTCATATTCATGATGATGAATACAAAGGGCTCATTGAAAACCATTGATCTTTAATCAACGTTCAATCCAGTCCTTGAACAGCAGCATCATGTAAAGAGGAACATTTACAGCAGCAATAATTATCGTCGACCCTAGTACCCGAATCAACCTTTGAACCAACCTCATCATCATCGATCGATTTTGCCGAGTTTTTCCAAACTTCTCCAAATTCATGTCATTACTCATCTCCACCAAAACGGATGCCTCTTGCTCTTGTGTCGATTGTTTCTTCGCAGAAGACCTCAGCACGGCATTACCCCTGTGACAGTCGAAATTGATTCACTGGCCCAAACTTGTGAGCAAAGGTTTCAAAATAGTCCATAAACTTTTTGAAGTGTTCTTTATTCAAATTGGCAGTGTCGCCAACTTCGCTATTTCTTTGGATGAAAATTAATGGTAGGAAAGACCAAATTTAACACCTAGAAAAGCCTGGTGTTATAATTGACCGATGAAAAGAACTATTTTGGTCATTTACTACAATCCTTATACATATATGAAAATTAAAAATTTACATGCATACCACTTCATTCCTATGTATTTACATAACTAACACCTAAACTTTAATTTTTACATTTATACCACTTTTAACTATGCAAGAAAAGGCCTATTTCACCTTTTAAAAGTTAAAATAGTGGTAATTTTTTTTTTTTTTTTGTATGGAAGATTTGGGGGGCATAGATGTAAGAGTATAGGTGTTAGATGTCAAAATACATAGGAATTAGGTGGTACGCAAATTTTATAAGAGAATCAAAATAAGGAAGCAACTGATGAAGTTGAAAGTGTGGTCATCTAGCGCACCTTCCTGTTTTTCCAACATTTGAGTATGCAACAGGAACAGTTTTGCTTTTCTTTATTAAATGCATCGAACCCTCGGAATCCCAGACCATGTCGTATTCACAATCTTCCTCATCGACCTTCTCTTTCATTTTGGCCATTTTGCTTCGCACAGAACTAATGATGCTCGTAAATCGACCGAAAAACGCAAATCCATTTGTAGGCCATGTAAAAAGAAGTAAAATAGTAACAACGAACTGGAACAAGTACCTGGCAATGCCTTGGTAAATTTGTCGCATATCAAAGGCAAAATTGCAAAAGAAATTAAGCACAGAAAACATAGGTTTAATGTTTCAAAACAAGTACCAGATGTAGATGTGGGTTTGCATGGGAAGAAAACAAAGGCTAGTTGAAACAGCAGTGTCTGAGCTAGTTGTATTTGAAGGACTTGCGGTAAGTAGCATAAATGATGGATAAAGGTTTCCCTGTTGCCAGCTGATAGTCCCTAGGGTATGCTGCAAATTTTATTAATTGCAAGCCAAGAACTGGAAGAAGAATTATTTAAAATTCTCACCTCTATCACAGGCCCAAACTCTGTTGAGTGAGTCATTGTACATTGATCATGATCATGTCCCGACAATACAAACGTCTGCAATGAAAGCATTTATTTAAGGGGCATTTACATGCATAACACCCAATTCTTATGTATTTACATATCTAAAAACTAAACTTTACTTTTTACATTTATACCACCAAAATCATTCATATCACATTAAAAAAAACCACCATTTGAACTTATAAAATGTGAAATACACCTTTTTTTTATTGGTAAAGTGGCATATATGTAAAAATTGAAGTTAGATGTCAGATATGTAAAAGAATAGGAATTGGATCGTATGTATGTAACTCTTCCTTTATTTAAATGAAAAATTGCCTTCTTAGGAGAGATAATCACTATAGTTAAAAAGAATCTTACAGGTTTGATTAAGTGCAATAAACGACTGGAAGTTTCATTTGTCAGGTAATTTTGGTACCTGCATAGGATTAATGAAAGGGTAAGTACCAAAACCCCTGCTTGTTTATCAAGCTCCAACACCAAAAGCTTCATTAATAAGTTCATAAGCATATAAAGCCAATCAGTTCAGTGGAAATTTGAAATTAAACAGTTTTAAATTAGTAATAGTAGACAACAAGACAGCTCATCCCTTCGCTGGTTGCTCAACATCTTCAATAAACCAGTAGAAGATCATGTTTCAAACATTGGGCTACCTCGGGATCTCATACATCACTAATTTCAAACTATCAGTATATATTCTCTGTTTCAACTCGAATGTTTATGTAAATGCCTAGTAGAATTCTTTCAATAAAATTTGCTTGCCATTAGTAACAGCTAATTCTATTTCATATTACCGTTAAGTAAAAAACTAGATGAGAAAATTTCCTTTTATATTATGGTCAGTTGGGTAATGTGGCGGATTAGCATGTCCTTGCCACACTTGCCTAAGCAGGCATATAAGGGAAGTTATCAATGAGCTCTCCCTTGTAAAGACATCATAATTGCCTGATTTATCAAATGCTGAGTGACGATGGTTGGCCCATGCCCAAGCCAGAGCTAGGCTTGCCACTTAAGCCCGACTAACAGATATTTTCTCATAATTCAAGGGCTTGTTTGATATCAATTTTGTTTTTAAGTTTAGTGTGATTTTTTCTTTTTTTTTTCTAAAATCAAATTAATATGTTTTTAAAATCACTCAAAATAACTTTTAGATGCTTTGAATATTTAAAAATATATATACCTTAATCAAATATTCAAATATATTTTATTTGAAATTAAAATATAAACAAAACAAAATTAAAAAAAATAAAAAATAAAAAAACAGAAGTGATCCTAACCAGCCCCTAAACTATATTAAACTTAAACCCCGCATTAGCGGCTAAGATAAAAAGGCTGCATTTGACAACCATTGAAGTTAGCCTAAAAGAATTCACTTGCATTGATTGCCGCATGTTGCTCCATCTTTACGTCTGTCCAATAATGAGAGCCTTTTGTAGACCGCACCACCAATTAGCCAAAAATCGCTCGTAAACCCCATCAAATTGCTCTGGGGAGTGGCAACAAGATAAGAGTCACTCTAATTGCATTTGGGATCTTTTCTTTGTTTTTCTTTTTAATATTTTCATTGTCGGTCCCAAGCCCCGGATGCAAAAAGTGGACGGTTGTGTTAGTTGACAACCAGCATAAAAATGCTGTCAAAAAATCATGACATTGAGTATGGAATGAATACAGTAAAAAAATCTCTGCACAGGCGCTCATTTGTATTGTTAGATAAGCAAGGGTTCCCATAATGTAGACAATAAGACCAACGAAATTATTCCAGGAAACTAATATCATAATAGGATCTTAGAATACAAGTAAATTAAGGGAATTAGTAGACAATATAGTTCATAAGAAAATAAATATTTTATGCATTCAAGAAATTAAATGGGTTGGAGAAAAGCCTAAGGGTCTGTTTGGGGTGGCGGTGCGATGGTGGTGAAATTTGCATTTTCCCTCTGGTCTGATTGGGTAAACTGCGTTTTGGCAGCTTCTTCAAAAAATTGTCGTCATAATATATATGTTACTACCGGTCCTAGCTACGTACGATGGTAACTTTCTAATTGAGGTCTGAATTTTTCCAAAAAAATAAAAAATTTGTAATAACCACCGCAGTTTTTTAGACATCGGTTTATTCTTCAGCAACTTCACAACTATTATTTAATATGTTGTAGTTGTCCCAAATATACCCTAAGAATATTGATAACTTAGGTTTTAAACATTGGTACTCAATTAAGAGTCGCACAAAGAAACGTGCATGTGTAATTATATATAAGACTGAGAAAAATAATGTTCTAAAAATTAATAAAATTGGAGATAAAATTATTTCTCTAAACATTATTGTTGATACTAAAATTTTTAATGTTATAAGTGTATATGCTCCTCAAGTAGGTTTAAATATAGGTTCAAAAGAAAAATTTTAGAATAACCTAGAAGAATTAATACAAATGATATCTCTTGAAGAAAAAATTTTTATTGGATGAAGTTTAAATAGACATATCGGTATAGTGATAGAAGATTTGGAGTGATTAATAAAAAGATTGAATCATATTAAATTTTACTTTAGTTGTTGATTTGGTTATTACTAAAATTTTATTTTAAAAAAAAAAAGAGATGAACATATTATTAGTTTATCTAATAAAACACAAATTAATTATTTTCTTATAAGAAAATAGATCGTCAATAATGTAAAGATTGTAAAATTATTGCAAGTGAAAATTTAAGTATTCAATATCAATTATAGTTCTGAAATTTAAAATGAAGTGCTAAAATATAAAAAATACAAAGAAACATTTTCGTAGAATTAGATAGAGGCATCTAAAAGACACAAAAAAAATTATTTTACGTGTTCATGAATTTCTACGCGAGATAAAGTAGTTAATTCAAGATTTCAAATTTTGGGTGATTCATGAAGTAGTTAATTCTACGTAGGATAACAAACACTATTAAACAAGTGTCAAAATATATCTTAGAGAATTCAAAGAAAAAAAATTTATAAATAAAAATTGTTAACTGTTGAATATAAATTTTTAAGAAAATGACATTTCCTTAAATGGCCATATGGTTGCTTTGTTCAAAAAATCTCAAAAACTTGCGCAAATGTTGTAAGTACTCATCTTCTGAATTTTTTTACGCCGGGATGTCTTTGAAGTACAAAACCACAAATTTCCCAATGAAGGCTCGAAAAACCTAGTTCATCAGCAACACGTAAGTACTCGAGGCATTGGACAACCAAAAGGGCATGACAGTCCACCCATACTCCATCTCTTGTCTTAAAGATTGTCTTCCACTCATCTCCTAGTCTCATTTGATCTAGCGATAACTATTGCACAAATCAACCATGGAGAAAACACTAACTAATTCCACGCAGTTGATTAAGAAAATCATCCAATCTAGGAATAGGAATAGGAAACTAATACTTTATTGTGATCTTGTTCATGACCCTGCAACCTATACACATGTGTCATGATCTATCTATTTTTAAAATGATCAAAGCTGACACAACACATGGATTGGTGCTCTCGCGAACTAATACTCGGGCTATCAGATCTTAAACATGCTTTTGCATCTCCACATACTCTATTGGTCGCATCAGATAAGGTACCCGGTCGGGAAACACTAATCATAGGATAAAATCTATAGCATGTTCAATCTCTCGCAAATGCAATCCAGGTGGCATACTGTCCGTCAAGACATCCTGAAACTCCTTTAGTAATGGTCGCATTACCTTAGGTATTGCTTCCTTCATCTCGCTGCCTTCTAGTATTACCAAGGACAATCCAACCAATGCCTCTCTCATAGATAGCACAAGAAACGATAGCTCCAATCTCTGTCTGAGTGCACATCGTTGCTGACTCCTTTGGTGGCAGAAGTACAATATGTTTGACATCATTGTTAAATGTGTAGGTATTTTTGTGATCGTCATAAAATGTACATTTTTCGTACTGCCATAGTTAGCCCAACAAAATACGACATGCATCCATGAGCAACATCACACCAAATTCAATCCTCTAGCTTGTCTCTAATTAAAAACTCCATCAAACATCTTTTGTCGACACAAATTTCATTTCCCTTCTTCAACCAAGAGAGTATGGTTGTGAATACTTCCATATAAAGGCTCAATTTATTCACCATCTACGTAGATATCATATTTTCACAACTACATCCATCTATAATGAAGCTACACACCTTCCCCTTTATATCACAGCGACTACAAAAGAAATTATATAAGTCACTAATGATCACTCTTAGGCTTGGTCTAAAGAACTCATCAAACCACAAGCATTTCACCATCACCTACAGGTAGTCAGTACTCTCCATTCTTTTCCTTTGGATCTTCACTCATTGCTTCATCCAATACACCGCTCTCTTGTTCGGACAGTTGGATGCAAGGTGCCATATCCACGACATTTGAAACATTATTTGGTCGAGAATCTATTGGTGGTGTTGGTCTAGTCAATCCTATTTTCCTTCTGTGCAAGCTTCTCTTCAGGAGCGATGAATTTGGGTACTCTAGTTGATGTGCTCTTGCTACTTGTTTTGAAGGTTGAATCTAGTTTGTCTCTTCACCTTCAGGCTAAAGAACGAACATCCTGTTAAGTCCAATTAGGTTGCAACTATACTGCACTGCTAATAGACGGTCTCAATCCCCCCAGATACCTGGCTACAGTGTTCTCCTCGAGCTCCACTAGTTCACAATTCAACATAGTCCTAAGCTACTCGAACCAAGAGGTGTACTCTTCTACTAAAAGATTTTTCTGCTATAAGTCATGAAGCCACAAAAACACATCATGTCTATAATGCGGAGGTAGTTAGATACTTATATTGCATCTCTTTTTTCATCTTAGAACAGGTAGTGGTTTTGCTTTTTTTCCTCACACTGGTGCAGGCACTTCAAGTTTCTCACCACAAAGACGCACTCTTCATCAACTTCATGGCGATCCGTTTTACCCTTCTGTCAGGTGGGACATCCTTGTATTCGAAAACTTGTTCAACTATCTGGAGTCGTTCAATAAACTCAACCGATTTGCCTACCCTGATTCCAAAATCACATTCTCTCCTCCTAGACTCAATGTTGAATCAGCGTGGCATCAGCTTTTCATAGCTTGAAACTTCTTGGCGGATAGAATTTTCTTGAACTTCACCTGGTTGGTCATTATTGTTGTTGTGGTTGACTTCCCCAAGCTAACTTTTTTCAAAATAAGAGAGATTATGCTACAATGGATGATTTCAAGTTGCATATCCTCCATGATAATTTCCCAAGCACCTCGTTGAGGGTTTCTCCTGCTCAGCATTGCATATTGTTCTTCCAACTGATATTTCTACTAGCTCTGTCATCACATCAGATTACATCGTTATAAGGTTCCTAGGAGGTGTGAAAGAACACAATTACATTAGGGACACTATGGGATTGCTACTGTGAGTGGCAAGATGAACTACAGCTGATAATTGGCGTGTATAGTGACGGGGCAGCGAACTAGAGGCGGTAAAGTTTCAAATTTCTGTTTTCACCAGCTATTGGAAGTATGTTTGATGGTTGTTTAGCAGAAAACAATGATCAAAGAACGAATCGACGACGTAAGAACATCGATGGGGATCCATCACATGTTCATAGGCAAGCCATAGACACACCACATGAGAAGAGGAGATTACAGCACTCCGGAAAGCAAAAAAACCAGAGAATAACTCTCAAAATACCTAAAAACCAAAACTAAAATCCAAACAACACACTACACATAAAAGTCAGTTGGTAGGAAATAGCCTAATTAAGGAATAAAAAAATAGGAAATAACTCAAAAGGAAGCAAACAAAAAATGAAAAAAAAATAAAAATAAAAACGAAAGAAAATATCGACACAGAACGGGCGTAAGAGGCGTGGGATCCTCATCCACGTCTCCTGTCGCCTGGACCGAACCTGTCGAGACTTGGGAAAGTCGATCGATTCTTCCAAGTTGTCAGCTCCTCCCGTGTAACCTTATCTATTTGTTTAAAAATGCTTAAAGTATGCTTCCATGTCATATTGCACATGTGATTGAGCAATAAACACAGTATGCAAAAAAAAACACACTAATGCAAAGCAATTAGTGGAAACCACCAAGAGAACCATAGCCACCACCGCGTCCGCTGTTTATTATTGTCTAACTATAACAATCTCCTCCACTTTGACTCACTTCCACCTTTGACTCGCTATTATTGTTTAAAAGAAATATGTTCTTTCACCGTCCAACTATCTGTTTCTGCCTTAGTTAATTCTAGGTTCTTGGGTCGAGGCATGACAACAAGATTGATATAAGACAACCTTTTCCTATCAACCAACCACATCTTCCTTAATCCAACACTTCCTTGTTCTCTTGTGCCTTCTTTGCCTAGATCTTGGAGGACCTGATCCCACCAAATTTCAAGTCGCCCTAAACAATCAAAATGTGAAACTGACCGCACCTAGCACATAATAGGATTTGATGATGTCATGACAATAGAAACTATCACCATGATCATTTGTTAACAAATCTTCCTAAAGTTTCCAAAAAAACTTGGTATGGATCTAAGTAGTATTCACTCTTTAAACAAGTTATGATGCCAATTTGTTTCTCAATTTTATAGCCGGTTGAGGTCCATAAAGAGTTTATGCACCCTTCTAAACAATAGACAAAAGTATAGTAGTACCTTAAGGACTATATTATTAGGCTTACCCGTACAACTCACATGGTCATCAGCTCTGATCCATCAAAAGGCATCAAACAACATCAATAACAAAGAAAATTTGTTCTTTCCCTCTTTGTTCTATTTCTTAGCCGAGTGATCTCAATACAGAAAAAGATTCAATTAGGTTAGCAGCTGAGGCAAGCCAATTGTCCTCGCTAAGGCCAACCAACATCTATCACCAAGAATATTATATTCATGGAAACCATCAAGAAAACCATAACCACCATCACGTCCACTACTTCATCATTGTTCAACATGTCTCCACCACCGTTGAATGACTATCTCCACAATATTGGATACCACGTAAAATAAGGATTAAATCATGTAGCTCGCTCAAACTAAGAAAGCCCCCGACAAACTACACAATTATAAGTTGTATCTACCCTGAAAACCATGATCATAATATCAATGAGTTTCAATACTAAAGTCCATAAATGAAAAAGTTGATCAATGACCTAAATTTACACATGTAATTTGGCAACTGATGCCTCGCCACCAACAACAACACATACCACACCTAAAGATGACAAAACACACCGCACCTAAGGATGACAACACTTACAATACCACCAACAATGCTCTCACTAAGGCGTTAGAACATAAATTGTCCATCTAAGAAGCCTGTGTCGCCTTGACTCCAATGAGAAAATGTTGTTTTCTCACCTACTCCCATTGTTTCCTTACCTAGAAGGTCTTCTGTGATGCAATACACCAAGACCACTGTCTACACCCGTCAAGGTCTTCTAAATCCTAATTAATAGACACCGAGAATTTGTCAAATATCATCTTATTCCACCTTATAAAAAAGACCGACATGACGTCTAGAGCTTTGAGGCCCACAAAGTAGCATTATCAAATTCTTTGGCACTAAGTCACAAGAGGTGATTATCCGAACTTCATGCTAGGTACAAAGGCTTCACCGCCTTTACAATGCCATCTTTGATCACAACTTAACAAATTTCTGGCAATCATCTCAATGAGCCATCGTGTAGTTGATTTCCCATTTTTAGCAGAACAGACACATGGTTCTATCTAAAAATTGCAACCTTAACAACATTTTGGAGGCTCCCACAAATATCCTCACTACCAAGGAAAAAAGCCCAATAATCCACTTAATTGTCGAGTCTTAGTTCCTAATTCTAAGGGGGGCCCACCCATTGAGTGCTTTCTAGATCAACTCATTTTATAAAGGAAATTTCTACACCAAAGTTGTCAGCTCCTTCCGTGTAAACTTAATCTATTTGCTTAAAAAATGCTTGAAGTATACTTCCATGTCATTGCACATCTGATTGAGCAATAAACACATTATGCAAAGAAAAGAACCAGTGGATGTCATATTTGTGGAAATCACCAAGAGAATCATAACCACCACCACATCTGCTGCTTATTATTATTTAACCGAAGCAATCTCCTCCAACCCCCACCCCAAAATTAGAAGTTGTCTCTACCATGACAAACATCATCATAATATCAATGAGTTTCACTATTAAAGGCCCTAAAAGAAAAGTTATCATCAGCAACATAGGAAAAGGCAATTTAATGTAATAGATGTTTGTACTGAATATAAAATTGAACCTGTAAAAATATGGGTATGAAACTTACTTTATTCCATGGTCGTCATCAACATAGGAAACTCTCTGCACGTAAAGCGATGAAAATAGTAAGAATAACTTGCTACATGCATGAATAAACATTATGAACAAGCAGAGCACAAATTGTAGAAAAATTCATAGAAATCTTCCTTATTGGAGAACAAAGTGCACACCATAGAGACTATAATAAATTCTCCTAACTCAGACAACCAACCCAAGCTTTCATGCACAATGGAAAAAAAAAAGCCAAGTATATAAATAGTTAAATAAGCAAAATTCTTTGCATGACAAAATAATGATATATGAAATGAGGCCATCAATAGAAGGAAAAAAATATTGCATGATTTTAGTTACGGAAGTAAGGTCAAGCATGAAAATGAAAGGAGAAGCATGAAGGTATAGAGACCTGATTGATAACACTTGATGACCGGTATGAACCACAAGGGGAGTCATTATGACGGTACAAAGGGATGTGTGTCAACAAAACACTGGGTCTTGACGTATCAGCTGCAAGAGCAAAGAGCAAACTTCAATGATAATTAAACATATAATATTAATTATTTAGCATAGTTAATTTCTTATCATGTACCTGATGATAGGTTTTCGACAAACTGCCAAGACATGGATGTTTCTTTTGCTTGTTTAGGACCTGTATAAAAAGTAATTCTTGCCCAATAAGTCAATTACTCAAATATATAAAAGACTGCAATTTTATAAAAGCAAATAATTATCATAGAAGTCCCTGAACATGATGCAGCGTCAATGATATCATGCTGCAGACATAGATGCCCTTAAAATGCATGATAGAGGCTTCCGCGGTAGAATCTAATCTTAATTTAATAAATAAAACAGAAAATAGTACTCAGGCTCAACGACGTGCTCCGATGGTGTATGATCCACAAGACGCCATCAGATGATGCTTAGAAACTCAATGTTATCATCTCTAATGAACAACTGAGCTCCAGGCATGGTGGTCTTAAAGAAAGAAAATGGCACAACATGCATACCATACACTTCTCATGTATGTCATGTATGTGTCTATCCAACATCTAAACATTCATACTTGCATGCCAAATCTTTAATATCACATCAAAAATAGCACATCACTATCTTTCTAAAAGTGAAATACACTTTTTTCATGCATTGGTTTATGACACTAAGGTGTTATAAATGTAAATATCAAACTTGGGCTGTTAGATACGTAAATACAAAAGAATTGTGTGGTATGTATGCAAATTTCCCTTCTTTTTATGACTGGAGGCCATAAGCACAAAAGACTGACAGAAATGCATTAGAGAGGGCTAGAATTTCTAAACCTACGTTCTTAATGGTTGAAAATACAGGCAGTCTAGATGCAACAGACCATCCGACAAGTATCAACAGTTTGGCTCTATATTACTTATGCATTACATAGCAAGAATCTACAATCTAATCAATGAAACCACTACTTTTAATGTAGGGAAGGTTATCCAACCTTCTTTATAACAGTGAATATCAGTATGTTCAAGTTTTAAAACGTTCACTTAGAAGATTTGCCATTGGAAAGTTTCATTGAAGCTATACGAGAAATATATCAACTTAATTAGGTTATGAAGAAGAATGAAAAAGCCTCCTTTAGTCATGTTTGAACAGACTAGATGACTGCCCAAAAAACTGACTAGGGAGCGGGAATCACATGATGTGTATTATCCCGTTCTCGATATGTGACACTCTCGTAATAGCAGGAACAGGAACTGTGATTTTTGCTACAGTACCAAACCAGACGTGTGATCAATTGGAGCCGTAGATTTAGCCATTTCTTTTCTTTCCTTTTTTTATTTCTTCCTTGTTCCTTTATTTTCTCATTAAGTTTTTCCATGGGGAACTATTTATAGGTTTACTTTTCTGTTTTGAGAAAGACCTTTGGTTTGGTTTGGTTTGGTTTATGTATTTTGGAGATGTTTTCTATTGGTTATCTCTATTGGAATAATGTATCCTTAGATTTTGTTTTCAGGTGGTGTGTGTGTGTCACCTGATAGGACTCCTCCTTTGTTGTCCAAACCACAACCAACAGATGTTCGCAGCATGAAAATTATTTTTATCAATTTTGTTCCATTGTTATCCACACAACAATTTCAGCTTACACCCCTCCTCGATATCTGTGTCACATTGTTTCGTGATTTTCCTTACTTCTTCAGTCGAGACAGCCACCGAACATCATCTATCCCTATCCAAATATTAGCAATCGCCTAAAATTCCATCCCCTTAATATTCCTCTACCGCTTCTCCATCAGAACCGCTTCTCGAACACCTTCTAAGAGTCCCAGATCAATGTTATTTGATATCACAGCCTGGCAAGCCCAATATTTTGTAGGAGTTTTTCATTCTTATCCCAATCTAAAATTTCAAAAAAAAAATCCCACAAAACCCTAACTAGTCCTACCGCAATTCCTAACCTTAACCCTAAAAATTTTCAAAATCCAATTTTCCCACCTCCACAAACATTCCATCCTGACACCTACCCCAGAAACCTAAGAATCTGACCAATCTTGAATCGCAATCCTACATCCGCGAGAAATCTAATCGGGAGAAAATGGCACAATACCATTGTTGACCTCGCTTTCGGTCTAGGTGTAGTTTTCCCCTCTTTATTAGCCTAGGATCTAGCTGTAAAACCTTTCTGTCGACTACTCCTAGAAAACTAGTGAAGGGGCCCTCCCCGTTAGCAATTCTGAAATTTTCTTCGCTCGACTTGACGTTCCATGTGATAATTTTGACCGCTATTGCTTAGCAGGTAATGCTACTCCGAAGGAACTCAGAGAGCATTCCTATAGGACTGTCGGCTTTAGGGTCGACTTTACTCGTTGATTTGGCGCCACTGCGCTCTTCGCCGTCCTCTTTAATCGAATTCGAGCAGAAATTTTGATAGGATTCGGACCGTGATGCGTTTTTAGCCCAATCGGCGACGAGGTTGCCTGGACGAGTCCGGATGACGAAACGGACTGCGTCGATGCATCTGGAACATCGATTTTGCCTAGGGGGACGTTTGTTTCATTGCGACGGCACGTCTCGGGGAAAATACCTATTTAAGTGTTAATTATAATAATAAATAATATTTTATTATTATTATTATCATTATTGATAAACTTATATTAAAATCCTTAATCTAACCCCCTCTCCCTCCCCGCCTCATTCTCTCGAACCCGTGGGCCTGCCTCAGCCCTAGGTTAGCTCGTTCTCCCGTGTTCGCCTCTCGCAGACACCCATCCCTCGTATCCTATCTTCTGCGTTCTGAGTTCGATCTTCTCTGTCGCGGATCGTATCCTCTGCGAAAATCTAATCCTCTGCGCTCAATCCCTCTGTCATATCTTCTTGATCATATCTTCTTTATGTTGTATCCTAAGTCTTGGTAGCCTTAGGGGTAAGGATGAAAATCTCTAAGGGAGGAAACTCTGTCATTTTCTTTTCTAACTTTTTTAATTTTCTGGTGCTTGAATTGGTTTCCTCTTATTGTTGGAGGAGAAATTGAAGTTGGGGAGTGCCTTTAAAGTTCCTGTGTTACTTTCTTTTGCTTCAAGGAGGTACATTTTCCCCTTTTGTGCCTTGCACTGTTTTCGATTTTACTCTATGCCGAGTCTCTCTTAGTTTGGTGCAATGGATAATGTGGCATGTTAGCTTAGAGCTTAGAGTTGTACTTATATTTTTGAAAGGCATGTTACTCCAGCCTCTAGAGATGGAAGTATGAGCATGTTCTAGGGATTGGACTTGATTACTTGCTTAAATGGGTGGAAATATAGCATGATATAAGTGTTCCTCTTTTCTCCAATTGCTTGAGATGAAATTATGACATATTTCTATTACTGTGAATAAGAAGGTTGAAACATGGCTTTGAGACAATGTTAGCTCCTCTTGCAAGGATGTTGGGATATGTATTATGAGGCTTTTCATCTATTCCTATTTAGCATGAGATATTGGAGAGTTTATTTGGCCTTTCATGCATGTTTGGGGGCTCGGCTTTAGCTTCTTATGGCTCTTCCTTGCTTGAAATACATGTTGTAGGAGGATTTATTTAATTCTACAAGTCTTGTAACTTGTTTTGATGGTTGGGTTTAATACCTCACGAGGCATCACTTTGTTTAAACTGATATTGGAAGTTGTTTCATGTTTAGAATATTTAAGTTGGGGCCTAAACATGCTCTCTATACTGTTGCTTTTGTTTAAGACATATGTTGGCTCTATATCTTGATGTCTCAGAAGGCATGTTGACTAATCTTTGATTCTAAATGGATCAGTTTCACCTTAAAGTAGCCGGAAATTTAATTTCTGTTAAAGCCTGAGATTATATCGATGCTTGGGTCCTGTTTTAGCCCTGCTGAGCTCGGTTTTGGCTTGATTTGGGAGCTCGGTTTGTTTGTCTTAGCTCCTACCCGAGAGCCTGTTGTGGTGTTCACTCCTGCCCCTGCTCAATAGTTGTGGAAAGGTTCGGTTCTATTTGCTTTGGCCCCTGTTGGGCTCGGTTTTGGCTTCGGTTAACTCAGTTTTGGCATTTTATGACCATATTTGGCTTAAAAGTGCATGATGTGGAGGAACTTATTTTGATTTGGAAAGTTTCATAGGTATCCTCATCCGAAATATATGGTGGCATTGCATTTTTTATGTCTTGAAGGCATGGAAGTGTTTTCTACCCTTTTATTGTGGCTCGGGTTTGAACCTTAGCTGCGGTTCGGTTTTACTCTGGTTGGGAGCTCGATTTTGCCTTGTTCTGCCCCTACCCGAGAATTGGCTTGGGTTTTGATTTTTGTTGGACTTAGCCCCTACCCGAGAGCCTGCTTTGGCGGACTGACCCGAGAGCCTGTTTTAGCGTACTGTGTTGTCCTTATTCGAGAGCAGTCAGTTTTGATGGATTGGTTGGTTTGGAAGTTTATAAGGCTGCGGTCTTTGTATTTGCATGATTCCTAGCCATGGGTTTGTAATGTGGTTGAGTTAGTCTCCCCCTTCGGTCCTACCCGTGAGCTTGTTGTTGGGTTATTTGGAGTCTTTCGGCTCTTTCTTGTTGTAATTAATTAGCTTATATTTTGTTGATGAATCAAGTTTGTCATCCCAAAAATTATAATCATTTTAGTTATCCTCTTATGTATGTCGAGGGAGCATAGCAGCCACTGGCGGTTCTTTTGGTTGTCTCGGCCGTGAGCCTTAATAACTTAACTCCCACTTTCCTTTTTGGTTGCCTTAGCCGTGAGCCTTACTTGTTGTTCCTTGGGTGGCCTTTAGTCATAAGCCTTGGCAGTTGTCCCTTGTTGCCCTTAGCCGTGAGCCTTAGTAGTTGCCTCCCTTGTGGGTTGCCTTGGCCGAGAGCCTTACCTGCTGTTCATCTCTTTGTATTGACCCCGGCCATAAGCATTTACTTTCATGTTTATTTGATACGAGGAGATTTTCATTAAGTCTGTAATTGAATAGCTTTAATATTGACATGATTTTTGGAAGTATAAGTGGTCGTCGTCCCAGGGTTATATTCCTTTCATTTAAATTGTGAAGTTTGGGAGATTTTCGAATTTTATCTTGGGAGAATGTTTGGCTGAGACGAATTGATTTCATAAAAGATATCTTTGGGGTTTGGATACCGGCGTTAGGAGGTCATTTTGACTTGGGTTGATCCACTTATGAAAACGT